TTTTTTTTTTTTTTTTTCAAACTCGTCTTTCGGAGGAGTCGGCACAAACTTCAGTGTGCTCAACAAGGTAAATGCGACGATCGACACAACTAACGCATTGTTAGCAAATACGTCTCTTTGAAGTAATAATCCTTGGAAAGTTGCTATATCGTACAGTGGAAAGAATTCTGATCCGTCTTCGATTTCTGAGCCTTTCTTTACCTAAAATATGCTTGTTACAATAATGTTACAACGACACAGAAATCACAGGCCTATAATAAACTGCGATTATTATAATCTATACTAGGACAAAGAATGCACTCACGCGGGTTACATTCATTTAGTAGGTTATTAAGGTTTCCGAAGTCCATCCATCTCATTGGGCAAATGTTTAATGAATTCGATGTTTAACGCACACTAGAGCAACAACAAACTGCATGTCCAATATCGAAATCCTTCCACACTCCAAAACTGAGGAATATCCGTGAAAGATACAACATTTTCGGTTCCACAAAATAGAATCCCATGCATATTCACTTAAACTGATAAACCTTATGTTATTAACGTCTTAACCTTGGCGTCTCTGCACCCCCCCCCTCCCCCCATCCTTGACGCGTCTCATGGCCCTGCGACCACGTGACCAATGTGTAGAGTATATGAACCAGAGAGGGGAAAACGGGAGTCACAGTTGTCCAGAAGAAGTAGGAGTACCAGCTGGAACTAAAGATGGGATCCAGCAATAGACTACGTCTGGCCATCTGTGCCATATGGGTATGTGAAAAAAATTTTTTTTCTGTAATTTCTAGAGGAAGCTATGCACCTGTGTCTAATGCACAGCTACCGAAAAAATCGAAACATATTGTTTTTGTCAACTCTGTTTTGAAAACGTTTGCACCAGAAATGCGTGAAAAAAACTCATCACAGAAAACTTTCAAAAAATTTTCAAAACGAGTATCTATTTATTTATATAGAGTTATACATTTATCAGTTAAATTAACGTCTATTTGTTTTGTAGATTGCGTTCGCAGCATGCCAAGAAGATGGAGGTAAGATAAACGGCTGTTCTTATTAACCCTTTTACGGTGGTCAAAGTTATTCTTCCTCTTAGCAATGTTGTCGACAGTAAACGTTAAGCAACAGTTCCAATTTCAACATTGAAAAATTGGACCCATTACACTAACTTGTGCAAAATGTTACACTAGCTGATGCATCCCAACAGTGACAAGTTCGCAAAATAACCTTGATCTCAACTTTAAGACCGAAAGTTTTATTTTCTTCAATTCACAATAATTGTTAAGCTACTAATTCATTATGGAGTGTCTATTGGTCTAAGGCATTAACCATATCTTTTTTTTTTTAGCAGACTTAAGTTTTGATCTTAAAGTGTGGGCCAACTTCCGGTCTAAATGATTTTGCGATGCCGTTCAAAGTGTCACCATTAATGAATCTAAGAAGCATATAAAACGACTGTGCAATACCACACAATACAAACAAATGTTATAAAACTGGATTGATATTTTGAACAAGTTTAAGAAAATCGCCGAATGTCAAAACACAAGTATTTGTATGGCTCTCTACCCAACACTAACGGCTAACTGTATTTCGATCTGATGAATTGAAAATTCACTAACAAATATTTCTAAGTTTAAAATATACTGGAATACGTGACGAGGCGTATTTCAAAGCCTTGGAAACCTGTCAGGAAAAGTCCTGGATCCGCCATGCGTGAGATACGTTTATGTAATACCATCTGGCAGACGCGGTAAGTCGGCTAAAACTTCGATCACGGTCTAAAAGGTGGGGTAACCCTTAGGTCACGGAACACCAGGCAGCTGTGACGACCTCCACAGTATTATCAATATGATACACATAAACCGTGTGGCAAAGTATGTAATAGTACCCTATGCTCAGTAACCGTGGCATGTCCATGTGAAGGCATATTGTGACATATTTTAATATAAACGTATAGTTAATGCTCTCTCACAGATAAGCTAAACAAATGATAGTTAAAGAATTGGTTGATGGATAAAACCAACGAAATATACTATATTCTCATTAATTCATATTATCAAAAGTTTTGAAGGAATAACATTACATTATTATTTTTTAAAAAAAATTGTTGTTATCATGCTTATGGAAAATAAATAATTGCTTTCATTTCAGAATTTTATTATGGACCATATGACTTCAACCCTGAGGAAGGAGGTGTGTAAATACAAAGTTACTTGTATGTATATTTGAAATACGATATTACTTTAAAATACAAAGAAATTAATACAAGAGAGAACAGTTATTTTGTCAAAGATACAAGCTTAGAAAAATCTACGGAAAGGTTTTACAATGGATAATATAATGCTGTGCGTATACTTTCATTGTTTTCCTTCGCAGATCTTTTCGAGGGTGATATGGTGCTAGAAAAATCTGTAAGTAAAATAAATAATATTTTTATATAATTCAACTTTATAAAACTTATTCAAGTCAAATTCTAGATCCAGCAACACAGACATACCGCATCTAACACCGTGTTATAAATGTTTGGCTCCGGTGAAACGTAACAGAGAGCCCCCCATGATAGAGAGTCCGATTCCCATTCATTTATACAGGTAAACCTCGCCCTAGATTTTGACCCACTTAGGTCAGGCTAACCCTAACCATTAACGAAAGGGAGGGTGGACTTTCTGTTACACGTACCCTGTGTATCGTTACACCGGCCTCTTCCAGTAACCCTGAGCTTCAGAGGCTACTGAAAACTCACCCCTGGCCAGAGACAGAAATGAGTTCCCAGCAATCTTTGAATCTTAGGGTGCATTCAGCACGTGACTACAATACACATATGTATATGCATTTGTATATGAATATGTATATATGTACACATAGCCATATAAAACTTTCTCATTTTAGTTGAAGAATGCTGTGATTGGCACCCACCGACTGTGGCCCAACGGAGTCGTACCCTACGAGATAGACCCGGCGGCAAAGTATGGTA